GTTCAGAGGTCTGCCTGGATTTCGCGGATCAACAGTGGACCCCCTTGACGGCGCCTCCGGCGCCGCCCTTGGCACACCCGAGAAAACCGGGCGGATGTCCGAAAACATGTGTGCATGTTCTTATGTTCTCACCTGCGTCGGGCTTCATTGCAAGAGCCATCCGCAAGCTGCAAAGCAGCGCGATTTGATCATGTGCAGTCTTCCTCGTGCCTTGCGGTCACTACTAGTACGTCCAGGATGTGCGCTTCACATCGCGAGACCGAAGCGAACAGCGCGCTGGCCCGCTCTTGTGAAGCAAAATATTGAAAATGGTTGGACGGAGCATTCAGTCATGGCGCAGTAGGTTCGGCGATGGCATGGCGCATCATATGTTGAGACAGACGCACTCCTTGCATTCAGGTGGCACGAGTCTGCCGTTCCACCCTCCGACAAGAGCACTGGGCATGCGCACTCTATCTAAAGCTTGCCGTCAAGCAGCTGCGTCAGTGAAATCAAATCCCGAGCGCATTCCGAAATCGTTTCGACTCTGCATCGTTCCTGGTCGAGGTCCGCTCTCCGTCCAGAAGGCGGGCAGCGCCCCGTGGCAGTCAAAGTGCACCACGCGGCCATTGGTCGGCATGTACTCCCCCATCGAAAGATATTGGAAGTGGTTGGACGTGCTCGGGCAGGGAGGCGACTGACAACGTATTGGGGCAACTGATGTGGTCCACACAATTCGCGGCAACCCCATTACATTTGTCGTCAGCGCCGTGATCAGTATGGTAAGCAGTAAGAACGCAAAGGAGTGTCCATGTTTGCGTCGGCTCACCCATGTATTTCCTAACGGTGAAATTTCGGGCATCATACTTTCGATTATCCAGCCATCGTACGAACCATCCCCACCATCGATTCCTGCATCCCGAAATGCTCGTCGCCAAGCTTGGAAGGACGCTATGAGTTTATCGGTCGTGACGCTTTCTAGTGTATCTTGCACGGTTTCAGAAACAGATGTTGCCGCACGACACAACCATTGTAATTGAATTTGCGTGCCCTGAAATCCCACTGCAACCCATATCAACTGCACAAAATTGTACACAACGACAAGGTCGTAGGCATATTGAAAAGGCGCCGGAAAGTTTATGTCTGCACATTTCCACCGTCTTGCGGCGTTCCAGGTGGAGGGGCTGGTGGTCCTCACAAATTCAGCCTGGTCTCCCATTTAGTCCTTCAATTTTTGGGCAAAATCGCGCGTATTCCCAACGTCGCACGCTGATGGGCCCGCAAGACCGGGAGATTCTCCAAGATGTTCAAAGACATCTGACTGCCACGTGGGATCGGACACTTGTAACACGAGTCGGAGATCCCAGCTTGGGCGTGAAGGGTGACCTGGCTTCTCCTTGTACGATCCCGAGCGATCAGGG